CTGTGTCCTTTTTATTAGGAAATGTCTTCCACATGAACGTTCAGGGTTTTGTTTTCTGTTCTTTGGCTCTGTCAAAGTGTGATCAGAATTTTCAAATGTGGGTGCATAATGATTGCACATCTGCTCTGCTGCTGTATTTGAGCAGGCATGCATATTTTTTCATTAACACGATATGCAAATTTATACCATGAATATCATGTTTATATCATAAGGAAGGATGCATGCTGCACTCGAAAAGATGTTTTGCATGTTCTGCAGTTTTAAAGAAATAAAGTTTTCAGCTGTTCTTAACCTACTGTTATAAAATTGTTGGTAAGTTCAGCTTAAATAGCATGCATTTCTTAAAGCTGCTGCACCTCGACTATGCAAATGCTTATGTTTCATAAAAGGTAAAGGCTAGTCGATTCTAGCAGTGAGATTAACCAGTGTACTTGCTGAGGTTTTTTTTAAATAGACAGGTATAGTTCTGGCAAAAGAAGGGCCTTGCTGCTGTAGCTGATAAATACCCCTGCAAGTGTCACAGAGTTATGTAACTCCCCAAATATAATAGGAAATGAATTTGCTCGGTGCCTTGTCCATTGTGTTTTTAAGGTTGACTCTACACCATCTAGCCCATTCCTCTCCTGTTTTCCTCCTCTCCACAATCTCCATTGTGCATGCAATACTTCCAAAGTTTGTTTTCACAACCAATAACTAAAGAGTTTGCATCATGAATTTCCTGTTTTGCTGTGTCAAAACTTTCAAAGATTGTGCAACTGTGTTCAGACCAGATGAAACAATTTTGTATTGGAAGCAATTTCAGCCATGTGGCCCGTGAGTCTTAGTGCAGTCTGTGTTAATGGTTTTCTGTATGTTCTTCTAAAAATATGTTTCAGAAAAGATACAGTTCAGAAACACTAGTGACATGGAAAGCATGTCAGATTTTTTTTAAAAAAAAAACAACAAACAAATCCCCTTGCCCATACATGTAATTTTATTAAGCTGCAAATGGTGATGCATAGTATTCAGAATGTTCCTGCGATGACTTGTTCTGCTCTGTCCCTTTAGAGATTTTTCTCCCCAGTAAAAAGTTACCAGGTTTCATTAGAGACTTTGAATTTGGTGTACCTCTGTGTTGGGATAGTAAATTGTGGGGTTGTAACCACCCTTAAACTGAATGGTTAAATATATTTCTGTGTGTGTCTACTGCAGTATTTTATTAGAATGTAATAAAAAGCTCTGTTTTATTTAGTTGTCAAGATGAGGCATTTAAAAATGAGCAATTTCTGGAAATTGGGGGGGAAAATAATAAAGAAGCCAGCAGATGAATCATTTAGGCTATGGAGCTGTCTGCTGTAGGCTGCTTTAAACCTTTAATGCGAGTGTGACTCTGAACACCCTAATGCAAGAACCTGACTTTATTTTTTAGTCAGTGGATGGGGAGAGAGAGAGGTTTTTCCTGCAGGCAGCTTAAGGCACCCGAGGTGTGTGCTTGAAGTTAGAGCAAATAGTCCAGTGTTTTCTGAAGTATTGTGTGCAGTGTTGGATGAATGTCATTCAAATGGCCAGCTCGGGTCTTTTTCAGGATCTGTTTTTTAAAAACTGAAAGTACGTGGCGATACAAGTAAGGATTCAGTTCCAGAACTTTGAGAAACATCGATACATACCCTCAGATTGTTCATTACCGAGTCATGTTAACAATTGCTGTGACATCTGCTGTGTGAAATGCTATTCCATTTATTCTTGCACCTCTTTTGTATATTCACACAACACAGTCTTTTGCATGAAAAGGATTTTGTAGCCAGGTCTACACTAAAACACGTGTGGGTTCCTGAAGTATCAGTCCGTAAGACTTCATGCGAGGAGGAGAGGGGCCTAGATAATGCAGCATCTTGCAGTGGGAAGTTGCTGAATGGAGATGGGATCGATCGGTGACTCACGCTTTAGCTGGAGGATTGCTTCATTTCTTCTGTGTGCTGAAGGGAGATTTCAGCAAACGGCATTAGTTCAGCCAGCTCTAAGCGAAGCAAAGAGGTGTTTAGATGATCTTTGCCATCATTTTCTAAAATGCTGTGAAGGCTGACTCTGTATACTCTTAGGAGTTCACTTTATATTGTATTTTTTGCAGCAGTTCTTTGTGTGTTGTATTAATACTTTGTAAAAGAAGGGTTTTGGTTTAATTGCTTTGCAGGCTATCAGGATTTCCTTATTTAATTTGGAAAGGAATTGAACAGCCAAGACTTACTTTTCCTGGGAATATTGCATAAGAATTTTTTAGCTTTTTTTTTTTTGTAGACTGCTAGGTTATATAGCCCTTCCAGAACCTGTCATTTCTTCCCATTTTGACCCACAGTTGTACCAACAAGGACTGACTCTTGAATTTCCTGGGTATTATGAAGATTTTTTTTTTTTTTTTTTTTTTTAAACTAACAGAGAAACATTATGGATTTAAGAAATTTTAAAACATTAGGCTCCAGAGGAAATGAAGTAACAACCCTAAATATCACCTTTGTAGTAACAATTCCTCCATGGATTTTTTTTTTTTTTACCAATGTGTGTCTTCAGGTTTAGTAATCCCTTATCAAAGCGTTCAAGTGCCTCCAAAGTATGTGTGCACTTGGAGAGACAGGTGCCTGCTTCCCCATAAGGTGTGGTAGATACACGAGGAGTGATATGAAAAGAACTATAAAGCTGAGTGGGATGAAGCAGCCGTACAGGTAGGATTAGCAGAACACGTGTGAAGAAGGGGGATCGCGTAGGAGGTGGGCACGCACAGAAAAGCTGTGAGCAGAGCTCTGAAAGCAGAGGCGAGTAGCTTGAACTTCATGGGAACTTATATATAAAGAAATGAAATTAGTGTGAGGACATCTGTCCTATAGGGAGATTTTTATGGCAGCTGTCTTAGAAGCAGAAGCCAGCATAGCAGAGAAGTTAAGATTTACAACTTCTTATAGTGTGTTGGGAGGGTAACTGAAACACATGTATAGGCTGAACTCAGAAGTGGTGGGTGTTAATGATAAACTGTTGGGTACTAAGGACTGTTTTCTCTGTCTATAACTAGGGATGCATAAATTGACTCCAGAGGTACCACCAAGGAGATGCAGCTGTCTTGGGTATTTGCATGGGCACTAGCAATGAGCAGCATGCTATTTAGCAGAATAGTCTTTGCACAAAAATTAGCATTCTGATGATATAATTTTTAAATAAATTGCATTCCTGAGTAATTTTGTATGTACTTCAGTTCCTCAAGCTACTTCAGATCTTCTAAGAAGATATAAGTTGAATTGGTGGATAGGTTCCCTAAAACAGTTGGTTTATTCTAGCTCTTATGTTCTAGATTTAGTTCAGATTAACTCAGAATTGTAGTTTTAGCTCACTTAGGGCAAAGTGGCTGCAGTTCATGTGCCATAGCATGATACTATGTAAGAGGTTAAAAAACGTGGAAGCTGTGATAAATTCTGAATTTGTGCTGATCTTATTTTAAAAGGGATTTAAAACTGTGGATCATGCAATTTTTTCCTAGTTAGGCTTTTTTAGCTGAAATATGATCAGTGTAATGCAGCTGTTTTAAGTCTGTGATGCAAGCCAGCTTAGTGTTCTTTAAAACGTGCTCCAGCATGACAGCTGGTCTGTGCTCTCTGTGCTGTGCTCTGAAAACCATTAGGCAGTTATCTGTATTGGCAGAAATTACTCAGCATGCCTTTATCGGTAGGGAAATAGTCTTTAGGCCTCAGATATGACCGAACTTAGAAGTCTTCTGACTTCAAAAGTAACTTGATTGCAAATGTGCAGTAATAGAAAATGTTCTTTCCCGGGCTTGTGCACAGTGTTGTTGTGCTGGTTAAACAGTTTGTCAGTGCTGCTGATTGCAGTTCTCCTTGGAGGTTGTACATCTCCTGCAGCAGAAGGGAAACGCGATAGGACCCCCAAAATGTCATTAAAAAGATGGTGAAATTGAATTTCCTTTGGACTCTGAAATAGCTTATGTCTGGTGGCTCTGAAATCTCTAAAGAGAATCTTGTGGAAACCAAGAGAGAAACCTCACTGTGTAGCTGTGAAGATGATTAATATGCAGGGGATCCCCTTTTCAGGATGAAAGAGATACTGGTATATGCTGCCTTTTGTACCCAAAATGTTTGAAAGCTGGTAAAGATTCATGATTAATTCACAACAGCAGGTGTTGAATTGTGATGACTAATCTTACTTTTGCTCTAAGTCCTAGAAAACACCTTGAGTATCATTAAAATACTGTCATATAATTACAGTCTGGATTACGTATGTTTGTATATCACAAAATGGTGTACATGAAGCTTAAAAAAAATTGAATTTATGTTCCATGAAGTGTTGCAGCTTAAATATTGATATTCTAGTGGTGTGTGAGAACTTGATAATTTGAAATCGAGATGAAAAATGAACGCATAACGGCTTGTCTGCCCAGGCTGAGTGAGGTGTAAAGGGCAACTCCTGTGGAAGTGCTTGGTAACGGGCATGCTTTGAGACACTGTGGTGTAGCTTGAGGATTTCAGCTGTGGAAATTTGCTCCAGTTTGATCTTTTGTCCAGCTGCTTTTTTGTATCTGTCCACAGTGTTTTTGCAGGGTCCCCTTTGTAGAGAAGGAGATACTCCTTTTCCATGGGGCACAGTGGGTCTTTCCATTCTCTTGCAGGACCTGGGCGAGGATCACTGAAAATAGAAACAAGCTCGTGTTTTGTTTTCTATTTCTCATAAACCTCATGTAGCAAGTTCCTTGAAAACTGAGCAACTTTGAGATAAGGAGTTTTTTTTTAAAGTTAATTCCAGTTAGTTGTTTTAAAAATAAATGACAACTACATTTATTTCAGATAGCTCCTTTGGCAGGGGTGGGGGATGAGTCTAGGACTACTTTCATGGTTGATTTTGTACTTGGTTACTTAAGCTACTTCACACTTTACATTTATAAATGTATAGCTTTCCTTTTCGCTTGATGTTTGTCAAGAACTAGTGCATACTCACTTTTAAATGGAATCAGGAGTTTGCCCTGAATCAAAATGCAGCAGGAAAATTAAAAAATACTGTCCTCTGACTTTCTCCATTCCATCTTTTCCCCTTGTTATCTTGAATCAAGTCTAACCTTGATTTCACATCCTCTCTTTCTCCTTCCTTTTTGACAAACTAGAGCTGTTTTAGATAAGAACATCAAAGAAGAGAAGAAAGAGGAGTATTCGATTCACAGCTAAATGCCTACATTTCTTTAGTTCCTCACATATAAACCCTAAGCTCCGGAAGATTTTGTGCAGTGTATCAGAAATTTAATGTAGTTCTTCATGTGTTAAACTTTTGGTTGTTTCTAAAGTGTCAGGTTTTGCTGCTTAATATTATAGATAGGTTGTAATAGGACTTACTTCGAAAGACGATTTTAGAGTACAAAATATCATATATATATATATATATGAAGTTATGAAATAGGATGGAGTTAGTCTTCGTGGGTTCTAAGAATGATTATTTATATGTAAAGGTTTTATGTATAAGTTTCTGCTAAATGGACAAGTTTAAGTAATGAACAGCTAGATATCACTTACATGCATTTTTTCATAACAGGATTAGATGTGATTTACCAAAGAGGTTTGATTTTGGCTTCAATTGTGATTAACAGCCATCATAGTTGATTTCATTGGGCACAGGCCTTGGATTTTTGTAGCGACTGAAACCATAAAAGATAGTATCTCGAGCATAGTGTTTTGTGTTGAAGTGTGATCTATGAAAATATGTTTAGGAATACAGATAATATTTACAAGTATTCTACCTCTCTCCAGACTTTTATTGCTGTATTTGTGTTTAAGAGCACAACTGTTTTTAGACAGAAGAATCATACACGTTTCTTTTTTTCCTCCAAAATTTCCCTTTACTGTGTAAACAAGACTCATCTTTTAAACATTTTCTGTAGAAACGAACAGTTGCGTGCATCTGTGGGGATTGAGTGGGGGTGCAGGTTGTGGACCAGGATACCTAGAAATTATTTTCACTGCAGAAATGGAGAAGTGACGTTATCTGTGACTCAGTGTCCAGGTAGCAGCTGTCTGGAGTTGCTAAGTGTGGGTTTGAAGGTGTTGGTAAATAATTAATTTGATAATTTGATTGCTTTTTATTGTAGTTCTGCGTTTGACACAAAAACTGGGTTGCGTGTGGCCGTAAAGAAGCTGTCCCGACCATTTCAGTCTATCATCCATGCCAAAAGGACTTACCGAGAGCTGCGGCTGCTTAAGCACATGAAACATGAAAACGTAAGTTGAAGGAGATGGTATCAAAAATTGGTCTGAAGTTGGGACTGCGCAGGGAGTGTCCATCATGATTGCATTTAAGGATCTTGTTGCATGTGCTCTTTCCTGATACTAAACAAAAGCTTGCAGTAGTACAAGGGATTATAGTTGTAGAAAAGCAGACAAATAAAAAACCCCCCACATAGCCAACTTTGTATTACAAAAATCTTAATATTTCCTAGAGTAATCTGGCAATTACTGCTTAGCAGGTTCATATTGGTTTAAGGATTTAGGACACAGGTGGTGTCACTTACATGCTCCTGCTCGCTTGCTGTAGTAAGCTGTACTTTTTGTTAAGAATTTATTTTAAAAAAGAAAACATCAGAGTTTGTATTCAGTGTCTTCTGGAGGGTTTTTCATGTTTGTTTGTTTTGGCTGGCCTGTGTCAGAGGGGTGTGGAGTAGATGTTCACTAGATTCCTGTAGGTAAAATAGGGAGGGGAAAAAAGAGGATGGTGAGGGGGTGGAAATCATATGGCTTTTCATACAAGCCATCCACTTAAATCATCAGCAGGGAAACAGAATAGGATGTGACAAATGTTAAAGTTAAACTGGTTTTTTGCTCTAACCTCCATTTGGTCTAGAAAATGGTTGGTTGACCAGTTCTGTGTGTTAGTGGCATTAACACACCAATATAATTTATTTTGCGTGCTGTTTGGAGCAAATACTGTATGAAGTGGAGCAAAAAGCCTCATAACCTCTAGAGCTGTCAGAAGGTCAAGAGGAAAGGAAGGCTCTTTCTTCCGTCCAAGCAAACTCCAGTTTAGCAGAGGAGAAGTAGTGTTCTGGAAATGAGCTGAGCAAACCCAGGACCCTTACTTAGCACAAAAAGGCAAACAAGCATAATTTTGTTGGAAGTTCTCCATGGATGGTCTGTGCAGAATTTCTTCTGTTGTGGCAGTGGTGGTTGTGTGTTGAGGCTTCTGATCACCGCCGTCAGCAGCTGGTATCCCCTAAATCATCTTGGCGTTTTTAGTGTGGCCAACATAATTGGAACTTTTGATGCATGTATGTACTATTGTCTATAGTTCTTCCTCAGTGCCTCTGTGTGATACTGTTGTCTCAACAGTAGAGGTTGAATTTGATCCTGCTCAGTGTCCATCCCCTGGAGTTTTTTTCTGGACCTTTTCTTGTAGCTGAGATAGTCTCTAAACAGGAAAGCTTTGAATATCTGTTAAAAAAACCCAAAACAATATTGATCCATTTTGTCTAAGCTAATAAGGTTAAACAGTGAAAATTAGATAGAACTGTTGTAGCACCAATAACTATGTCTGGCATTCATTAATATTTTTTGATTAGTATTGCAAAGAGCGTATGTAGCTTTAAGAGTAAGGGATAAAAGGAAGTTAAGTTGTTTATATATAGAAATATTTATTATCGGTTCATCATACCGTTATCTATCTGTGGGAAGTTTATCTAGGTTGTGGTTTAAAAATCCTGCAGATGCAGAAATGTTCAGAGCCGGTTCAGGCAGGCTTATTAGTGCTGGCGTCTGGGTTATTCAGCTCTCAGTTCGGAATTCAAGCACTAGGTTTTATGTGGCACAGAAGACACCAGCGAATCTGCAAGGGATGGTGGTTTAAGGGGCTTGAGCATAGGACGGTTTTCTACATCCTGTATCTGATCTGGTTCATGATGCTCTTGAGCAAATAAATGGACCTGCAGAGCACTCAAGTGTGTCTGTGTTATATTTTCAAGTTCCAGGAGGCCTTGTTAGCTTGCATGAAGCCTAACACTGAGCAGATGGGAGAGCAAATGGGTTTGTTGTCATGAAGAAATTAATAAGCTCTGTGACATCCTAAAATGCTGGGAGGGGAAAGCAAAAGGTTAGAGGAGTTGGATTCTGCATCTACTGGTGTTCACACTCCCTTAGAAGTGAGTCAGTGATGCGCTTGCAGAATAACCGTACTTGTTTATGAAGCTCGATGAAAGATACAGGTAGTTTGATGCTGTGCTTCACAGTGTAGTGAGATAGAAGTGATAAATGAAAGAAAACCTGATGTCTAGATAGCAAAGTCAGCTTTTGTCTTTCCGTGCTAAACTGGGTGGATAATGTTGATTTTTTTTTTTCTCTGTAAAAACTCCTACAAAATAGTCCACTGGAGAAAGAAACTGTAAGCACGAGAATTATTATACAGGATGTATGTGAATGTTACAGTTTGAAAATGCCTGTCTAGAAATGGAATTGCTGTGATGTATATTGAGAGAGGCAGGAGAGTGTTTTTTCTCTTCAATTTCCTCAATAAAATCTAATCTATAATGTATAATATAGATTTGACAGAGGCTTTTATTTCCTACCCACTTTCTCTCTTTTCCAAAACCATAGTCAAGATTCCCCAAAGGTTTTCTTTAATTCTCTGCTTAAAAGTGACTGGATTGATTCTGACATCCTTGACAAGGGTAAACAATAGGATAAACAGGATGGTGCCGAAGGGAACACAGGAATCCAACTCTTGGTTTCGTATGCACGCTTGAACCGTTACTGAAGTTGCTGAAATGTGTGTGATGCTTCTGTACCCGAGACAAGTGACTTGAAAAGGGAAGAGGAGTTTTCTGAAGGTGGATGAAGAGAACCTGTCTATCTCATGTTTTCATAAAATAAAGTATTATTTGCTACTAAGAGAAGGAAGATAAGGATTGAAAGCATGTTTTAGTGAAAAATAGAATAAACTTTATGGAACAGATGGATTTAATTTTTTTTAAATGCTGTAAATGACCTAGAAGTTAATTATGGGATAATAAGGTATAGTTCTTTTCCACAAAGTAACACATGCATGTCCTTTTACTCTCTACTGAGAGAACAGTTTAGCTGTAAAATGAAAGGTGGGGTAGCTGCGCTTGGGGCAGAAAATACAAATGACAGTGTGAAGCAGTCAGCTGTGTGTGAAAATTGGGTCCTCGTTGCACTGCACTGTTTTCCTGACTTATTTTCTGGTGTAGTCATTATTATTCATAGCTTGCATTACAGATCCTTGAATTTTTCTAGCCATTACTCAGTACAAGTGAAACAAGTCTCCCAGTTCTGATTTTAATACAGTCAACAGTATAACTAATCGAGCAGGAAGAAGTTTTGTCTGTGGTTGGGGTTATTTCCTGAACAAACTTTAGTTGGTTTTTTAAATAAAGTATCCTAAACCAGGGTTTACACCTGCCTTTCATCATGGCTCCTGTCTGATGCTTTAAGTGGTTGGCTGGTGGGAAAAGACAGCTGTGTATCTTTAACCTTTTTTTGTGTTTGTTTTTTTTTTTACACAAGTATTGAATATTTGTTTCTGATCTTGTATGAATACTAATTTGTCTACATCTGAATCATTCATGTAGTTGGAAATGAAACATCTACTGGAATGAGTGGTGTCTATTCCGCAAAGGGTATTAGTAACTATCATATTATACTACGAAGATATTTCACAGCTTTTTCACTTTACTGTTTTCTTTTTAGGTTATTGGCTTGTTGGATGTGTTCACCCCTGCCAAGTCACTAGAAGAATTCAATGATGTGTAGGTAACTTCTCTGAAGACTGCAACAGAACATCTTTGGTATCTTCCCTGCATCTCCCAGATTATTATAGAAATATTTGCCACGTTAATTTGGCTGCCATCATTCTCAATTCTGAATTCCAGCACAAAAGATACTAGGACATCCTAAACTATTGGACCTATCAAACTTTTTCACTTGTGTTTTATTGACTGGTGCTGTAGGAATCAGTGTAGTAATCTGCTATATTATTTAAAATGTTGGGGACTAGGTTTCATTCAGCAACAAGCTTTGGGACAGTCAGCCCTGCTACTGGAGCTTCATAGGGCATTTCTATCCTAATCCTGTGGAAGGGATTGCTTCACAGCCGATGTGTTTCCTTTTGTTCATAGGTACTTGGTGACACACCTTATGGGAGCAGATCTGAACAACATTGTGAAATGCCAGAAACTCACCGATGACCATGTGCAGTTCCTCATATACCAGATTCTTCGGGGACTGAAGGTACTTGCACCTGTCCTACCTGAATGTTGGTAGCTCATCCATGGGAGGTGGAACTTGATGAATTTCATATCCTCAGAGATTCGTATGGGTACATAGTGGGGCTTCCCTAACCTAGCGTAGGATAACCTATTATTACTGTTCTTTCACTTCATACCTCTTTGGAGGTAAAGTTAGGTATCGTTTAAGAAGATATTTTTATACATTCCTATGGGCAGAGTATGGAAAATGATGAACTTTAATCTGCTCTGACCAGGAATCTTCCACTTCTTCAGTTCTGTTTGCCTGGGTTGTTCCACTCGTGGGGGCAGTGCTCCTGGGTGTTCTGAGGAGAGACAGAGTGAAACACCTGCCTACTTGGAACACACAGCCACACACTCGGTTCCTCCTGCAGACAAGCTGTAGCATTTGAATTGTGTGGGATGGGGTAGGGCAGTATTGTCTAGTGAAGAAATGAGGAGGAGGCTACTTGACAAATTTTATAACAGTCCATCTTGCTTTACAGTACATCCATTCAGCTGACATAATACACAGGGTGAGTATTTATCCTAAGATTGCTTCCTGTACCAAACCAATGTCTTTAAAAAAATGTAGTACAGAATCTTGCAATGCAGCACCTATAGAAACAAGAAGAAATTTTCTGAAAGTTATTTTGGTTAAGCAGTCAAAAAGTTAAACATGGGAAGTGTTTGTCGAGATCCTTAGTTTCTGTTCCTGCCTTTGGCTGGTATCTGTGTGAAATAGGCTCTCTATTTGTAAAATAAATATCTACAGCACTGCTGTTGCAATAAGCCTTTATGCATTTTTACTTGTGACACATCTGAAGACTACAGAAGAGATAGCTGACTCTGGAATTAAATAATTTTTCTGAGTATGGAGAGTTGGTGTTTACAGCCAGTTAGAATCTAGTTTGTCTGCATTTACATTTTTTATCTGCTTTAGATTTGTGAAACAACGTATATACCACTGTTAATGCTGATGTTTAATTTTTTAGGATTTAAAACCTAGTAACCTAGCTGTAAATGAAGACTGCGAGCTGAAGGTAATGTAAGCCCAAGGTCTGATTGCTTTGACTGTGATTTGAGTGAATGCCTTATGGATGTCTCTTGGAATTGAAGGGACAAAATAATTCCTTATGGAAATAATTTGGTGGTCCAAAGTAATAATGTCCTTGCCAGCTGTAAAGGGTTGTAAAGATGTTTTTTTCTATATTTGTTCCTGTGTTTTTAATGAATGATCACGAAAGGGAAGAGTTAACAGCTTTTATTTGAGTTTAGTTGTTTTAGAGACAAGATATCCAGACATAATTTTGATTGAGTCCTAACGCTGTTCTAGGCCTAGTGTCTCTTAACAGGCTGTGAAATTTTAGTTTCATAATCTCCTTTTGCAGTTGCACCACCTCTCCTCCACCCATTCCAATAACTGCCTAGTTATTTGCTCTAACTAGTTTGCACTGTTCCACTGCAGTAGTTGGTGGATGTCTGTTCTGTTCTGTAGATTCTGGATTTTGGCTTGGCCCGACACACGGACGATGAGATGACCGGGTACGTGGCTACCCGGTGGTACAGGGCTCCTGAGATCATGCTGAACTGGATGCATTACAACCAGACAGGTGATGCATTTCACTAACACAAGGCTTTTCAGTTCCTGAATCGTGGGGAAAAAAAAAGGTGGTTCTTTGTATGTGCTCTTTTCCATTTGATCAGTAAGTTGACAGGCAGGGTGATTACGCTTCAGTAAGGGTGATTAAAAGAAGACAGGCATAAAATTAGTATTTGAACCACAGTTAACCAGATGTGAGTTAAGAATTGTGATGGCATTCACAAGACTTCTTCAAACTTAAATCTTTGAAATTGCAATCAGTTAAGTATTGTCAGCACTTATCCCTTATTTTTCCATATCACAGTGATTTTTAAAGTAAGTGAACAGAATGTATCTGGATGAGAAGGTGTGTTTCCAGGAAGCTGCTGGGAATATGCTGAAAAATATCTTGAGTTATGGTGTGAAGAAATGCTAAAAAGTATATAAATCTCCCTTCCTTTCCACTTCTTCACAGTTATATGTTCCTCACAGTTTCCAGTATCTTCTCAGCAACACACCGTGCTTCCCTACAATACTTCAGGCACAGAGCAGAAAAGCAAATGTGAGAATAGTTGTACAGGAGAACATATGGGTCAAAGAAGATACTGTGCTACTCTGATTTCACTCTTCACTACTTTTTCTTCTTTTCTCTTTTCCTCTTACATGTATATAGACTTGTCTTGTACCTGTAGTGTAATAGTTGGTGGTTGTTTGGGTAGAATTTATGTAAAGGCCACATGCAAATTAATTCCTCAGAGTTGTTCTGAATAGGTCTTCCTCTTTGATTGCGTAGATTCCTCCCCAGCTCTTCGGTGTTCAATGCACGTTATGCTCTGGAAAGGAAATTTTTCTGACCTAATATTCTGTTACTTGGACAAGTCTTAGATGATGTAGTTTCTGAAGAGTATCAGTTAGCTTGCAGTGTGTCTGATTGCTTTGCTGTAAGACTGCTTAAGGATAAAGTTGTTTGTACTTTTGTTGGATAGGGTGATTCTACTGAGACTGTATTTTTCTGCATTAAGTTGTTTTTCATTTTATTTTGTTCAGTTGATATTTGGTCAGTGGGATGCATTATGGCTGAACTGTTGACTGGAAGAACGTTGTTTCCTGGTACAGACCGTATCCTTTAAAAGTAATATATTTTTTAAATGGAAGTTAGAGACCTTTACTTTGACATATTTCACAAGAAAAGGAGTTCTGGGTTTGGTTGTGGGGTTTTTTGTTTGTTTTTAAGTTAATGGCTTCTTTTACTCACAGAACGATGAGGTGAGTTCTTGGTTTTGCTGCGCATGAAACAATCACAGTGTGCAAGACAGCAAATCTATTCCTCTTTATTGTCTGTTGGCATCACTAGAATTGCTCACGTGGTGTTTTGTTTCTGGGAGTTACTTTCCTTTAAGTTTATTTAAATTCATTGCTCTTTGAGTTTGTAGAAATAACTGCATGGAGTAGGCTGTCTGCTAAGAATCCTTTCACGCTTCAGGTTTCTAGCAAATGTGAAGCATCCTTCTGGCCTCTCTTCTGTATCCTGGGGGTATGCTGTGAAAGCAGCAGGTTTGCAGATTCTTCAGTGCCAAGGATCTCGTTCCAAATTGCTCTGAAATGTTTAGGTTCCGCTTCCATGCTTGAGCGTAAACAGATTGTGAGTCTTCTTCCACTGTATGCTTGTATTGATGTGAAAAATCAAGCCTGAATAACTTCTTTTCAAACTGATTTTTTTTTTTTTCTCTGCCAGAGTGGCCTGGGTAGGACACTTTGGCAAATTTATGAGTGAGCACTGTGTTTTTCCCCAGGAAATTAGAACTGAAACTTGATGCAAATTGTTATACTTGCAGCTTTTGTTCGTTCACCCATGCAACACATAGGAGTAATTTACTGCTGGCAAGACTTTTCATTGCCTAGAAAATTGGACTTTATTTGCCAGAGAAAATTACATTGCCCACCTTTTACCAAAGTTTATTCTTTCAACACTAGTTTGTTTATTTTAATAACTTGTATTAATTTATTAGTATTTATAGCTGTTAATTCAAATTTGTTAGCATTTGGTGAAAAGAAAACTACTGTTGGAAGTGCTGGCCTTCTGTGTACTATCTTCCTTCTGGAAAGCATCTAGATTCCAAAACTCTTTGGCAGAGGGGAAGGCTTTCATTCCAGTTTTGACAGAGTTTCATTTCCCTTTTCAATGTGCTTTAACTTTACCTTTTTTTTTTTCCTCTTTTCTGCCTATCTCAGTCTCATAATCTCTCTCTGAATTTGTTGAACTTTCTGTACTCTACTGTTTAGTCATCTCTGCTGTATTTTCCTGTTGTCAGAGACAGAAGCAGAACTAACACAAAAGCAGCTTAGAAGCTAGAAGAAACTTGCCATATTTCCTTCCACTTGTTTAGCACATACAATTTGGTTTTGGCAGATTTTTTTTTTCTAAAGAATTGTTGATTCAAAGCAAAAAGTCCTTAACCTGTTGCCATTATTTGACCCTAGTAACAGTGACACTTTAGATTTTACAGATCTTGATACTTGAAAATCAAATATTTGCTTACAGTATTTGCAAAACATAAGAAATGCTTCACAATGTGTCCTTTATGAATTGAACAAAACAATTCTTTTCCAAGCCTGAGAAGTTTTTTCTCCAACTCTGTTCTTAGTTGTGAATTATAATCAATAATAGCTGCAATGCAAAATAAAGTTTTCCTTTAGTATCTAAATTGTTTTGTCATATTAAGATATTTTATTAATATATATTTCCCAGCAGATGCTTGTGACTTTTTACCTTAAACGCTCAATTTCTTTCACAAATGGTGATAAAATTTTGAATTAAACACGTTTTCTGTTCCCAGTTGGTTAGATTTTAAGAAACATAAGGTTAAATCCTTTCCCATTGTAGATAAAACTTGGTAGTACTGTAGGTGTTACAGTTTGTGTGTGTGGTTCCCCACTCTAAGTAACATTTATGCTGTTTGATGATGAGGTCAGGACTGTAAGGGGAGCGGGGTCTGTGGTTATGAGTCTTGTGCACGTAACCGAGGATCTAGAAGGGCACCAAGCTGTCTGGTTTTGCTGACACCTAAAGACAGCAAGCAGAAGTAAGATAACGATGGGTTCTAGCTTCTCCCTGTCTCAGAAAGCTCTTTGAAATCTTTATATGTACATGATTTTGAGAAAGTTTTAGGAATTTTCCAGTTGTAGATCCTCTCGGGTACTTCTGGGCCCTTCATTTCTTTGTACCCACAGATTTGCTGAGTCCTGTGTTCTTCCTGCAGTGTCACTATGCAATTGCTGATTTATTGACTTTGCAATTAACATTAATGTGCTTAATTCAAGATACATTTTACCATGCTTCTAGTAACCAAGGATAGAGTATATCCAAATCCCCTGCAGTTCTAGGGAATTCCCTTTGCAGTTGGAGGCGATGTGACTGTGTATTCCGTGTGTACTGGAAGCTGGAAACTGCTCCTGTTTGACAACTGAAAATTTGACTTTCTTGCTTTTTGGTCTCAAGACGTTAGTTTTCTCAACTACGTAGCTTCACTTTTCCAAAATGAAATAGATAGTGGCAGAATAAGTAATGACATCTCAGGAATATCATCTTCCTGCTCAGGTGGCTCTCTTACTTGAAATATTGGTTCCTTTCAGGAAGGATTTAGCAGAAATGGTGTGATGTTATTTACAGTCTATCAGATATTACTTTATATGGCCCGGAGCCACATATATTACTTGTAAGAGGCTTCAGTACAGACAAGCTGTACAGTTAATTTAATCTGGTAAGTAATAAAGTGGTGTTCTGAGTTGATGATCTTTAATGCTGTCTCTGATGATCATGCCACTGATAAACTAATGGTGATTTTAGTTTTAAGTTCTGAAGGTCCTAATTTGTAGAGATCCTGAACATGGCTGTCACTGAGTTAAAGCAAGAATTGTGGATACTCTTAAAAAAAAAACCCGCTGCGGTTAATACGGGCTTAGCTCTGCAGGATTATTACAATATTCCTAATTTAAAACTTAATATAATTGAATTGTTCCTTTTGTAATCTATGGGTGGAAATATTTGTGTGAAAGCTGGCTTTCTAATATTGGTAAAATCTCTACCAGGAGGTGGAGAAGAGGAGCAGGATTGTGGAAAGACTAGTCAGAGACAAAAAAAATGAGGTAATGAAAATCAGAGTCCTTCAGGTTTTTAATGTGAGGCATAGATAGAGGATTTCTTTTTGTTATTATCGTGTCTGTCTTATGCCAAGATCGGTTTCTTTTAAACATGTATATTCTTAATTTTTTTTTTTACAGCTTTTGTAATGTGAATGATTCATATCAATAAGTAGAAAAGTTGACTTTTAAGTTTGACAATTTGATTTGCATAAAATTATATAAAGTATAAATAAGAATATCTTGACTGATTTGTACTAGTTTAGCCGATTTTCTATATGTTTTAAGCTGTCTGTATTCCCTTTCAACTCTGAAGAGTATTTTTATGACTATTTTTATTCAGCAGTGTGAGACTTCCATGGTAACTAACCCATCTGAGATTACATATTCTTCTGATAAATCTTGTTCTTGCTTGTGGTGGCAGCTAAAACAACTTCTGAACTTTGCTTTGCCTGGATGAGCTCTTACAGTCTTGCGGTGCCGGCTGCGGATGGTGATGGCAGGTGGCTTTCTGAATTTTAGAACCACTGAGACTCATCAGTCATTGGGGGTGCCTTGGTGATGGCATTTGGGGTTTGCATGCTGCGCTTCCCTTCTCCATGCACATGTGTTTTTTGTTTTGTTTTTTTTCCTTTCGCTTTGTATTTACTAAGTCTTTTTTCCTGTCTTTAACTGCTTATGGCTCATTTCTCTGGGACGTGGTAGGCCCTGTAGTTGAATGAATGCTGCAGTTCAGCAGGTTATAGATGGCAGGCCTAAAACTAGAAGCAGGGGTTGGGTTTTGGCATGCCTGTGGCAGGGCCAGTTACACATTCTGTGTTTTCTCTTGAGTATCTGAGAAGTCACTGAAGTGTATTATACAAGTATCTTCCTACACAAGTAGGAATTTTCCCTGGGAAGAGAGCTGACAGCAAACTGGGCAGCAATGTTGTTGGCACACCTGGTGCACATGATTTTAAATGCCTTTAAAAGAATTTAACTATTCCAACTGAGGTATGGCATGTGACTTCTGAGGCATGTTAGCAGTCTGAAATTTGCACAACTGTTTCTTGCACAAGAATGAGTGAAAGATCCAAGGGCTGTTTTAAATAGCACTGAAGAAAAGCCAATTTAAATGAGCTAATTGTGGTTAGTATAGCACCCTCTGCTAATTCTCCTACACCAGTGGGTATACTGATTTCATTTTAAGCATTAACAATTAAGAGTTGGCAATTCAGCAGCTAAACTAAATCCAACTACATGCATTGGATTTACTTTTAGGTTTACAGTGTTTAAGTAAGTGGGAGTTGGCCAAGCAACTTGAGAAGTGAGAAATTAGTTCAGCTGTTCTGACAAAGTACTATTTCCAGGACTTTTAATTCATTTCACATGTAAAACTTTGTCTAAAGTTTGCATCAAAAGTGAACAGTTTTAGCAAAGTATTGATGGTTTCCTTCATACACAGTCTGCCAGTATTACAGGAACTCTGAGGCTTTTTTTAAAAAACTGAAGACAGTTTTTAAAGTTTTTGTAGTACTCTAAAAGATATTCTAACAAGGCATTGTAATTGTATCTTAAAACATCAGGAGGGCAGTGATCCAAGAAATTGTCTAGTAAATAGACTACTTTTATTGAAAGGAAAATGTGTAACTAGTTTGATATAATTTTAAGGGCAAATACAAACATTACAATCACAGTCTGAAATCACAAGTAGGTGTTGAAGGACAGCATGGAGGATGTCAGAGAAGGGAGATTATTCTTTTAATAGTTTTAAAAAGATACCTTGTCTCCTGACTATCTTGAGTTTTAGACATAAAACTAGGTTTAGTGGATTTTTTTCCGTCAAGTGTGTGTTTTGCCACTTAAGTCAAATATTTAATTTTTCTGCCTTGTTACAGAGGACAGGTTGGGTTGGCACGTGGCCTGGGGGAAGCTCTGTGGTGGATAAAGCATCCTTTGCATCTGCAATGCTAAATCCTGAGAGCTTTCCATGTAAAGATTTTAACTCTGAGCCCACATTCTGTTCTCTCTGGTGGGTCTGTAGGGCGAAAGGGAGACCCAGGTGCTCCAGCCTCCTGCCCTGCTGGTCCCGGGGAGCTGGGGGGTGAGTACCTGCTGCCGGCTGCAGCACCCCACTGCTCCAGGCCTGGGAAAGATGCACCCCATGTTCAGGTGGAGGGATGCTGTAGATCATGAGCAGGGACCAGTCATTTTCTTAAAATTCAAATTTTAGGAGTGGCTGAAATGCCTTGGAAGGTGTTCACAAAAGGCCTTGACTTTTTTTATTATTGGAGCCTACGCTTTTCAGCCTTCTGCTTTACTTCATCTGTCACTAACACAACCTAATCCTGCTGACTGCTTCTACTCTGGTGTGGGGCCTGAGAGGGTGAAGTGAGCATGTAAACTGGTTCTTCACCCGTGGGATGAGAGCTCTGACCTGTGCTCCACCTAGTTAAGGATGCAGCGACTGATTCAATGCATGTGGTGTTATTTGTAGACAAGTTGTTCAATCCGATGCAGAGTGAGCTGTGTTGTACCGGGGGTATTCAATTGTAAATGAGAGGAATGAAAACAGTTTGCTTAAAATAGCTTTTCAGTGGAGGCCTTGGCAGGTGTTAATTTTCAACGTTAATAGGCTGATATGTTGCGCTTTTTCATTTTGATTTGTCCCAGCATTTTCCTTTATGGTCCATCATTAGATATTGATCAGTTGAAGCTCATTTTGAGACTCGTTGGAACCCCAGGGCCTGAGCTTTTGAAGAAAATCTCCTCAGAGTCTGTGAGTTTACACTTTGATTGTAATATCTGCCCTTTCGGAAGTCCCAAGTTTGTGTGTTGCCCTCCTGTAGTCTATCTGTAGTATGTGTTGGGTTTTATTTTCTTTTATTTTTCTTCCTTTGTCATTCTTTGCTCTTGGATGGCTTTGAGTTCTCATGCTGTGTGTATCTGATCTTTATTCCTCTTACCTCTGCCTGTGGTATGATTTCTTCCTTCCATATTCTCATTTTACTGCTTCGTGACTTTTCTTTCAGTTTGTGGGTTTATACTTCGTGATACATTGTATGATCAGATGCTGCTGGGGAAGTATTTTTCACAGCTAAGAGTTTGAGGCTCGTCTCAATTATTATTTCTCCAGATTGCCTACCCAGGGATCTTTCTTAACAGGAGCAAGTGTATTATCCTCTAAACACACCCAGTTCCTTCTGTAGTATGATTAATTTCTGAAATACTACTGCCACCATCTTTGTTTTCATAGCATAAAATCCAAACTGCCTTGTAGGTGCTTTTCTGTGGCAGCTGTTTCCCGGGCACACAGTATATAGTCTGCTGAGAAGATAACTAACTGTGGCGTGTGTTTAAAGGGTATTGCTGTATGGGGCCCTTCTGCCAACCTAATAATCCACAAAGCTTTCTGCAGTCTGTGTTTTAAAGGGTGTTCTCTATTTTCAACCATAATGCCATTTCTGTTTTGTTCTAATCTTGAATTGCGAACTTCTGCAAAGACAGTATTAAATGGCATTTAGTTTTACCTGTTTCTGAAGGTGAAGTGTGTAAAAGTTAGAGCAAGAGATGCTGTAACAGGATGGATTAACCAGTTAATGCATAGTGAGAAATGAACTTGCGTAGAGGTAACTAGCAGCATACTTTAGCAAGTCACTCCACTGTTTCTGATCAGTGCATTGGAGAATGATGGCAAGATTATTTTGTACTGCAGCTTGTGCTATTCTTCATGTAACAGTGACGAAAAATGCAAAATGTGAGGTTAGCCTTGAATTACACTTGATGAAAGTAGACGTGCGGTGCAAGTTGGGACCAGTTGGTCAGCTTGCTGAAGACAACACCAATTTAAAAAGCCCTGGGATGTTCTACCCTTGGGAGGGTTAGAACTGGATACCACAGGTTGCCTTGGGTGCCCCGTGAACTGACCTTAAGGGTAGTCTGGTATTTGAAGTACAGGGATTAGCGAGAGAGAGGCTTAAAGGGTGACTAGGTTAAGCAAAAGATTAGTTTGCATACATAAGGTTGAAGCGAGGTGGTTTGTTGTGTTGGGTTTTTTTAACATTGCACAGTAAAAACAATGATTGCTCTTAGCCAGGTCCAAATCAAGAATCTATTTAAAAAAAGAAAAAACACGCAGTAAAGTACTGTTTCTACTTTTTTTTTTTCCATTGTATGGGGATAGCCAAACTATTAAGTGGTTGAGGGCCTTTAGTGTGTCACTGTAACGAATTCTGGTTTTCTGCTGCATTACTTTACTTGCTCTTACTTTCTCTGTCTGTTCACTGACATCAGCTAACTCTGTCTTATGCAATGCTAATGTTTTGCTAATTTTGCATTTATTGCCTTCTGTCACCTCGCCCACATCTCAAAGTGCATTCAAAGCTGTTTAGAAGGAGGTGTCAGTTGTGAGCTGATTTCGCTTTGCACCACAAGGAACTTAAGTACTTTCTATGCAGCAAGAAAAAAAGCTGGTAACCAGTGCAGGGGATACGATTTTTGTTTCTGTTTTAATTTTTGTTCATTTTTCTGAGGCTGCGTGTAGCTGCAGCAGCCTAGGAAAATTTTTGAGTAGCTTCAGCCAAAGGAAATGTCTACTTTTGTGGCTTAAAACTGTTGGGAAACATGAACGCAACTGTGTTGTAATATAATGCTATTTGTGGCAGACAGAAATACTTTCTGTACTGATGCTGTTACCCACTGAGCAGTAATTCTCCATCAAGTGTTCACTAGTACAATTGCTAAACTTTTCGCAAATATTTGAAAAAAATTAGCGGACCCTGCCTGTATGGCTTTTGCCTTGTGGTTTGCAGAAGAGATGCTTTGTATGCAGCTGGGTTTTTTTTTCTGTTTAAAATGGTTTTTGCACTGTTTTAACAAAGCCCTTGACTAGGCACTTAAGATATTAACCAGCTTCAGCAGATCATGCGTCTGACGGGAACACCCCCTGCATATCTCATTAACAGGATGCCCAGCCACGAGGTGAGCCCTGAGCAGATGAGGGGGGTTCGCAGGGCAGGTCTTCACTTGCAGCCTTCGCCGCTTCTCAAAGCGATGGCGCTCGCATGTGGCATGGGGTGGGCACTAACGACCTGCTCTTCAGCAACGTTTTGTACTAAATGAAGACTTGAGATTTGGACAGTGCGTACCGAAACACCGATTTTTTTTTTTTTTTTTGGTGAGAGTTGGTTTCACGCTGCGTTGTGTGGCTTCACCCACAGCCACCGCGCTGCACGCCCAGGCACCCCTCTGCTCTGCAGTCTTGCATGAACCCCCAGTAATACGAGCTCTTCCTCCCCTGTCTTGAGTGGCCTCTAGCTGGGAAGGGATAATGCTGATGGGCTTAGTAAGTATCAGAATAAGTAAAGAGAAAGCAAAGCAAGGAGACAGACCATAATAACCGGTGCTTCAGGATGACTGAAATGTACTTTGTCTTGGTGGCTGGCTTGTGTTATACTTCAACAGAGCATTTATTTCCACAGGCAAGAAACTACATTCAGTCTTTGTCTTACATGCCGAAAATGAACTTTGAAAATGTGTTTATTGGTGCCAATCCGCTAGGTAAGGATTGCTTTTTAAGTGCTGTGCTCTTCCTGAAGCTGAAGCTAGCATGTCCTGGGACACCCAAGACTTTCCCCAGGTTTTGTTTTGGCTGCAGAAGTAGTTCAGAACAGAGCTACACACCGTTTTCAAAGTTTACAAAAGTATGTGTGGGCTGAGGGTATAAGAGGAGAGGAATTGTGGGTGAGGGGTGGGTCCTGAGAAACTACAGATTCCTCATGTATGTTGGGCTTTTATGAGCTTGCATTTCAGAGTACAGTGTCGCACACTCACTGTGTAAAACCCTTTCTTTTCTATTTTGATGTGTTTCCAGCTGTGGACTTGCTAGAGAAGATGTTGGTACTGGACACAGACAAGCGAATCACTGCGGCAGAAGCGCTGGCTCACGCCTACTTTGCTCAGTATCACGATCCGGACGATGAACCAGTGGCAGATCCCTATGACCAGTCTTTTGAAAGCAGAGAACTTGAGATTGAAGAATGGAAAAGTGAGTTTGGGAGATGGGAGAGAGCACCAACCTGCTTCCCTTGCGGTCCCTTCCACAGCTGCTGTGCAGCTGAGCCATGGGACTTGGAGGCACAAAAGAAACTGAGAAAAACGTGGGCACCCTGTTCTTTCTGAGGTCCTTATGCTGAGTGAACCCGTAACATGCTGTGCGCATAATTAGCATCGTCCCTGGGAACTAATTCTTACTATGAGTATACAAACGTGCAGGCAACGTAGTTGCTCATGCCTTTATGTTTCCAAACTTACATCTCCTCAACGCTCAGGAAGTATCTTCTATTCTGCGTGTTAGTCTCTGAGAATGGTGTAACCATTCTTTTTCTTCTTAATTAAACCATGTTTTTCACTTAAAGTAACATTAGAACCTTTAAGACTTAAGGTTTTTAAAAAAGAAAACCTTTAAGACAAGGTGTTCTTGCATGAGGGATGTTTTTAGTACTGCCTTATTGAGTTTCTGTCCTGCTTTTCCACCAGGCCTGACTTATGATGAAGTAATCAGCTTTGTGCCGCCGCCGCTTGACCAAGAGGAGATGGAGTCCTGAGAAGCTGCTCTCTTCTGTTTGTCCCACTTCACTGTGAGGGGAAGGCCTTTTCATAGGGACTCTCCGATTATCGTTCAAGTGCCTCGTCACAACAATATTCTCCTTGGTGGAGGGGTTTTGTGTGTGTTGAATTGGGGAGGGGTGGGGGG